AATCCCAATGTCCAAACCCCAAATCCCAAACCCCAAACCCCAAACCCCAAATCCCAAACCCCAAATCCCAAACCCCAAACCCCAAACCCCAAATCCCAAATCCCAAACCCCAAACCCCAAATTCCAAATCCCAAATCCCAAACCCCAAATAATCTCAGGAGGCCCAGAGCGGCCCCCCCGCCCTACTCGGGGGTTTGGGATGGGGAGGGGAACTGGGAATGGAGCTCCTGAACTGGGAATGGAGCTCCCGAACTGGGAACGGAATTCCCAAACTGGGAATGGAGCTCCCGAACTGGGAACAGAATTCCCAAACTGGGAATGGAGCTCCTGAACTGGGAACGGAATTCCCAAACTGGGAACGGAATTCCCGAACTGGGAGCAGCGTTCCCACGGTGTGGGGATGGGTAATTATGGCCGGGCGTTAATTGGGGGGGTTAATTTGGGAATGGGGGGGGTCTGTGGGGATCCCGGGAGGCTGCGGGGAACCCTGGGATGGGATCCGGGATGGGGCGACAGCGGTGACACGTGGGGACACGGCCGGGGGGGGGCTCAGGGGTGGCAGTGTCACCTCGGGGGGATGGCAGTGTCCCCTCGTGGGGCTCAGGGGTGGCAGTGTCCCCTGGGGGGGTGGCAGTGTCCCCTCGGGGGGATGGCAGTGTCACCTCGGGGAGGGGGGTGACAGTGTCCCCTCGGGGGGATGGCACGGATGGCAGTGTCACCTCGGGGGGGCCGCGGGTGACTCACTGTTATTTGCAGCTCAGGAAAAGGAAGCGGCGGTAGCTGAGAACGGCTCCGGCAGCGACACCGGCGCGGCCATCGCAGACACTTCCCGGTCCCCGGGGGACGCGGGGCAGCCAGGGCAGGAAACAGCCACCGGCCAGGGGTCACCGCCGCCAGCCGAGCCCCCCCGGACACCCCCGGCAGCCCCCGGACATCCCCGGACACCCCCGGCCCGGACACCCCCCGGACATCCCCGGACACCCCCCAGACACCTTCGGACACCCCCAGACACCCCCAGACACCCCCGGACAACCCCGGACACCCCCAGACACCCCCAGCCACCCCCCGCCACCCCCACGCCCCC